CTGAAGCCCTGGAATGCTGCAGCCCAGGCAGCGCTAGTCCTCGGCTCAGTCTAGAGGAGTTGAGGAGTACTAAGAAGGAGGGGGAAGCGTTTGTGAATGTGAGGTGCTGATGAAAGACAGAGTCCAAGGTAGGGGCTGTAGGGTCCCAGGGATCCCCACACCCTCAAGCTTTCTGAAGACAATGCCTATAGTGGCTGCGTCTTGTAACTGCAGAAAGTATCGTGGCCTGCCCAATATTCCTGAGAATTCTGACAGGGATCTTACATCATCCTGGTCCTAACTCTTCCTCTCATGCTCCGAAATCCTTTGTTGACTTTCCTCATTAATAGTCTCTGGTCCTTTAACCCCTTTCCTGGTTTCCAGTTCTTTTCAGTATGTTTTACCGAAAATGAGATGTTGTCCCCCCTGTATTCAATAAGGCAGTTCTCTTACCGTTATCAAATTTCTGCTGAACACTTAGGGGTTAAAAGTGGGTGGGGGAATGGATAGTAGTCATTATTATTAAGATTACTGACCATACCATCCCAGCCATTCCCCTTCCAGGCATTTCTATCCTTAGACCCTGGACCATATCTTGTTGCTGATGCTGGATTTCCAGCATCAAATCTTCATCTTCTCTCTCCTAGATCCCTGGTTACAAATGTAATTCTCTGATTTGAACAAAAATCAACAGCAATAGTAACAAAAACCCCAAAACCAAACAATTCTATTCCTCATTTTTCTCAACTGTTTTATTTTACTCTGTATTTTTATATAATACTATTAAAAACATATATCTGTGTGTGTGTGTGTGTGTGTGTGTGTGTGTGTGTCCTTTTGGGACTAGAATGGGCTAAGAAAAACTATATATGAACAAAGGGAAACATACTGATTTTTGTAGATATTTCTGTGCCTGACACTTGGCAGTGACATCCTTAACGGTAAGCAATGTGATCTCCGTGGTTAGAATGTTGATGTGTGATAAATGTTCCACGGATGAACACGGAACTTTGAGAGGTCTATGGATGTGCGCAAAGGGAAAGAAACATGGAAGTAAGAAACATGAGTGGAGAAAGAATAACATAACCAACTTAATATCACTTAAAATTATTAAGTGCAAGATTAATCATCATTAGCATGATGTAAAGTACAGAACCATATGTTTCTTATTAACCATTGAAATGCAAACGTAACATTGTAAACATAAGAATACTGGTGATCATTTTCTTTTAATTGCCATCTGCAAATTTCTAAAAAACTGGTTTTAAGTCTTATAAGGTAAATCATAAAGTTATTTTTTCTCACTTAATATTTCTCAAATCATGTTAGCCTATGCACTAAATGTATTGCAGATTCTCCCTTTCTTGAAGAAAATGTAAACATTTTCCTCCTTACTCCCTTTTAACAAATAGCTAAAAATGTATCTGAGAGTAATTAATATCAACAATGAATATAAATCCTTAATTATGATAATTGAAGCTTATCAGAATGATAGTTATTAGGTTAAATGCTGATTAATTATTAAAAAGATATGATTTCCCAGAAAATACACGTTTGACTCAGCAACAAGGAACTCTGCTATCTAGAAAATATAAATTAAGAGTCTCCTTCATATCCCACACTATCTTTTGACAATGAGGAGGTTCACTGGTTTTGCTACTGGGAATAGATTTCCCAGTAGCAAATGGGGATGGTTTGTACCACTCAATTCTGTATGTCACCAATTTTATACATTATCCATTTGTTTTTCCAGGTGGGAAACAATTACTATGTTTTGGAACAATTACTATGGCAATATAGTATCTCTAATAATTTATGGACATTACACATTAGCTCTTGGAGTAGGAAGATAGGGTAAATATGGGCATTCTTTAAATTTATAACCTGTAAATTTTACAACAGCTTTCATTAATGGTTTCTGTTGCTGCTGCTGTTGAGAAAATGTTCATTTAGGGATTTTATTTCTACTGTCTTTAGTCTTCAGCAAACGCTAGAGTTAGAGACTTGCTGTTTTCTGCAAGTGGTCTGAGATGGCAAGCCACCATTACTTACAGGCAATTTGGTCTTCATTACAAATTAATGAAATGATAATTGATCTCTGCAACCTTTTATGTACAAAGCGTGCTGGTGCTGTTTGCATTATCTTCTTGCAATTTATACCTCTGCATTCATGGACTTGTGATAGCTTGCCAAATTAACCTTGAGAGGAAAATGTTAAACTACAACGAGACCTCCATAATTAAAATAATATTTTACATCAAATTATGAAAATCTCCATGTAGTCTCATCTCTGATGTCTAGTGTGTGCTGTTCATAGCAGGAGAAACTTGCAACTTATTCATCTGTTGAAGTACAAACTCATATCTATTCTGATAAGGAAATCCTGACCTAAAAATTTTTAAATCAATTGGTTTCTTTTTAAGTAATGATGTTCATGATCTAACTTTCTGTAAAATGTCCGCAGAAAACACTTGTTCTTGGAGGTTTTGTTAGCTCTGTACTTTACCATGCCCTTGTAGGACCAAAGTAATGATAATGGAGAAGATTCCACATAACGCTGACTTTTCAGCATTAGAATTTTTGGGAGCGCCAACTCTGTTCACTCTTCTTTTCTTTCTCCAATATTAAACTAATATATTAATTTTGCTTTGAACGTGACTGTACTATTATAGGACCTCAGTGTAAAAACCTCAGAACCAAACTCGCATGTGTTCTCTGTGTGATACGTTCATGGAGTGGATGTTTGAAAACAGTATATTGGTGATTATTAAAAGTACGGTGTGAATATTTTCCGTTCTTATATTAAACTATGAATATATCTTGTATATTAGGTCTAAGGTTTTCTAAAATAGTTCAGATTTGTTCCTTTTTTGGACCTTGGATGTGACAATAAAGTCAAGCCAATTTTGCCTCCAGAAAATGAGTGCCTGTCTTATCTTCTAGACCCTGAATAATCTAAGGTTATTAAAATAAGTAGTGCTTTTTACTTATTTGTTTCTGTTTTGTTTTTAGGTTGGTAGGAGAGCTAGGGAGAATAGAGATTTTTATACTGTGTTTCTCACACTGTAGGGGTCCACAAGTTGGTTTTGATAATTTAAACATCCTAAAGTAAATAATCTGTTTTTTGTCTAACGAATTCAAAGGCCAAATAAATGCCATATTTCTTTGCCTGTGGTTACCATTAATTTAATAAATTAACATTTCATCTCATTTTGTGAGTAGAAGTTGTGGATTGGAATTCTATGTGTTTTTAATAAATATAAATAGAAAAAATGTTAATACACTTTAAATGCCTTTGATTTAACTAAAAAATATTTAAAACTTGCCATTCCTGATGAAAATAATTAACTCCCTTAATGGAGAAAAATTTATGAACACATTTATAGTGGGCTTCACAAGATTTTAGTTATTTATTTACAAAATTAAAATACATTCTCTAATAAGAACTTTATAGTTCTTAGTTCCCTGAATGATTCCTACATGTATTATAAGACAAAAAACGTTTTTATGCATCTCTCAAAAGATAAAGTTGTGTGCTACATAGTATGGAGGATATGAAGAAGTCTAAAATTTAGCAAATGCATATGAAACACAACCAAACTAATCCTAGCATGTATCATGAATTAAATTTATGAATGAATAAGACATTTAATAAGAAGTAAATAATACAGAAAGTTTCTTAAGAATGGCATGGTATGGAAGGCATCAGAGAGAAATGGGACAGCCCAGTTGGGTTGCACCACAAACAAAAGAAGGTCCAACATGTCTTGTGAAAACAGTGGAAGAGTTCCCACTGACAAGAACATGGTATGTGCATAAGTAAAATGTGTCATTCACTAGTCTCAATCCATACTTTTAGAAAAATATAAATGTAGGTGGGGACCAGTTTTTGGAAAAACGCAAAAACTAAAGAGTTTGAAATTTATTGTGTAGGTCATGGGGAGCCATAGAAGACTTTGAATTCAAGAAGGACATGGCAAAAGGTGTATTTTCCTGGCAGCAGTAGGCAAAATTGGTCATGGTAAAAAGAAAGTCTAAACGTAGGAATAATAGTTAAAAACAGGCAGTATAATAGTTGTAGAATCATAAGTAACACAAACTATCTGATGTCAACTTAAAAGCGTCTCTGCGTCTGTTCTAAGGATCACAGGAAGCAGTCCTTACTGTTCTAAAAAGTCTTAAAACTTTTTAAGTGTTTTTACAGTGAGAAAAGTTGTATTAGGATAATCCTAACTGCTATAATAAAAACAACAACCTAAATAGCCATTTATTTCTTGATTGTGTAAAATTTAATGTGGGTAAAAGATATTAAGAGTTGAAATGCTCATGACACTTATGTCTTCAGTTCTCCACGCATAACTACTAGTTTTTTACTTTGAGGGAGAGAAGAAGTAAGTTTCTATTTTTACTTTAAATTTGCTTTCATAGTTCTCCAACACATGTTCCTTGAAATGACTGAGCATGTTAAAAAATGTCATGCATGAAGATCCATGGTAATGACCTCATTTAGATTCACCTTGTTTTCCATATATTGATTTTATCAAAATATGGCCCCAGCTGGGAAAAGATTAATAAAGATTCATTTTAGGCAGTGGTATTTTTCGTTCTTTTTCAAATAATAAACAATTGAAAAAATATACAATAAAACCATTTCATAGTGTTATTGGAGATGACTGATTTGAGGTTTTGATCCTGCAATATTTGGCTAGATCCAATAAATTACTAAGCAACTTTTTCCTGAATATTCCATAAACTGCAATACAACTCAAGTGTGTTCATGAAAATTATAAATTACTTTGTGTCAGTGAACTCAGAGAACCTTGCAAATAATAAAAACTACAAACGAGAATGTTATGGAGTTGCTCCACATCATGATCTTTAATGAGTAACACTGACATTTCTGCTTATTTATTTTGTATTTCCTGTGATGCTACTGATACCTTTATCTTGTATTCATTATTATTTATTATGTTAAACTCACTAATTCTGCCTCTCTTTTTTTTCCTCCTTTGATTCTTCAGTGGGAAGAGATCAGTGGTGTTGATGAACATTACACACCTATCAGGACTTACCAGGTGTGCAATGTCATGGATCACAGTCAAAATAATTGGCTGAGGACAAACTGGGTCCCCAGGAGCTCAGCTCAGAAGGTCTACGTGGAGCTCAAGTTCACTCTGCGGGACTGCAATAGCATTCCACTGGTTTCAGGAACTTGCAAGGAGACTTTCAACCTGTATTACATGGAGTCTGATGATGATCATGGGGTCACATTCCGAGAGCATCAGTTTACAAAGATAGACACCATTGCAGCTGATGAAAGTTTCACTCAAATGGATCTCGGGGACCGAATTCTTAAACTCAACACTGAGGTTAGAGAAGTAGGTCCTGTCAACAGAAAGGGATTTTATTTGGCTTTTCAAGATGTTGGTGCTTGTGTTGCCTTGGTGTCTGTGCGAGTATACTTCAAAAAGTGCCCGTTTACAGTGAAGAATCTGGCTATGTTTCCAGACACAGTACCCATGGATTCCCAATCCCTGGTGGAGGTTAGAGGTTCTTGTGTTAACAATTCTAAGGAGGAAGATCCTCCCAGGATGTACTGCAGTACAGAAGGCGAATGGCTTGTACCCATTGGCAAGTGCTCCTGCAATGCTGGGTATGAAGAAGGAGGTTTTATGTGCCAAGGTAAGAGTCTTCTCTATTTTCCTTTGTGTGGTATTTCTCACCTGGGAGTTTATCCTAGAGTAATGAAAAGAAATGAACCCAGCCTGAACTTACTTGGTGGCAAAACATACCTCAAATTGAACAAAGGCTATTTATAGACTAAATTTATTCCACTTGATGTGTTGATTCATAATTTGTTGTAGAAATATTAACATGTTTGATTATGTGGTGCTGGCTTACACCCCAATAGAAGTGTTACATATGCTATTTGTAAGTTTTCTTTGCTATTTAATGACTATAGTAGCATAACTCTAGACCAACTGAAAGAAAAAAAATCTTTATCTCTTTTCTTTTATGGAGAGGGAAGAAACATCACTGGCACTCAGCTAATCTAATTCTAATAGAGTTAGATATGCACTAACTATTTATGTTGGTGCTCATCAATCTCATAGTAATATGTAACCTCATTGCTATAAAATATAGTCTTTCCGTGAGTGACATCTGTGCATCAAATCTGTGTTTACTTACAAAGCACTAGTGCTTTACCAAAGATTATTTTGTTAAAAAATCCAGGGTTGGTGCTTCAATATTTGATGTATAGAGGAGTAATTTTTGTTATTTTTATTTTGCTCCATGATTTGGCCCTTTTGGCTGCTTGGGAGAATATCTGTGCCACGCGTTAGATTGGAATGCATATTTGATCATTACTATAGTATCAGAGAAATTGAACTCTGTCATCAAGTTTATTTTTATTAAAAATCTCTTTGTACTTGGAGTAAAATCAATTAAAAGATAATCTTTTTCCATATAAAATTATGATATATCAGATGAAAACTCCTACTTAATCCCAAAACTTGTTATTTCGCATTAGGCAAGGTTTTGTACTTATGAACATACTGAAATTATTATTAAAATTTTAAATGTATAAATACATCAAGAACTTAAGTAGCTGGTCCTTGGAATCCAGTCTGTATTAATACCTTTGCTTGCTGTTACACTCTACCAAAGGAATTAAGTTTGGCATTCTACTCATGGCCATTCAGTAAGTCTCAAGTCCATGTGAAAGAAATGAATATACTTTATACATAAATTGACCTTTCTAACAATCTGAACAGAACATAGCATTTTGCTTTTGACTATAAACATAGTCTGTAAAAAAATTATTTTTTAATAAGAGCAAATGGTGCGCTCTAGCTTCTACTTCTCCATGTTATTTAGATTTTGGCAAGCACCATCAGAATAATGTTACTAAGTATGTTTTTGCAAGTTCTAAAATTGAAACAACATAGTAGCTGGTACTGGCTTATAAACAGGAGTGGAAATAAGTTTTAATGACCTTTATGTTCCGCTTGCAGTTGTATTTCATCACGAAGGTATAGTTTGTGATATATGATATTTATTTTAGAGATTTATTTTAAATAAAATCATGAAGGCCTAACTCAGGAGGAATTTAAAAATTGTCTATTCCCTCTAATTTGTTCCCTACTGAACCAGTTTCTGATACAACAGGAGAGGAATAGGTGTGTCTCCATTTCAATAGTATGTATCAATTTATGCAGAGCTATCTCTTATAAAATATTCCATTGAGCAAGAAACCTAACCAATAGATGTTTGGATTTTAAATAATTTTTATGTAGTGCTTTATACTTCAAAGTTGTAAGAAATATAAAAGTAAGTATCAATGAGGTAAATAGAATCACATAAATGTGTTAATAGAAATAAATAAAGCATACAGATATTTAGCCTATATTACATGCTGTCTTGAGGACAAACTTTAGTAGCAGAATAAAAAAAAAGAGGCACATTAATTGTATTCAGAAAGCTCACAATGAATTTAGAATTGCTACTATTTTTTAACCTCATTTTAATTTACTGAAACACTGTGTTAAAGTAACTACTATGCTATTCAATAGTACTCTGTCAAGATTACCCTTAGAGATAACATTCATGTCAAAGTTTCACATGAATCTAGTAGTTTCTTATTTTGAAGGACATCAGCAGCCCCTTTTTGACGTAGTAATGCTGGATCGTCACAGACGTTCTCTCTCAGCATTTAAAAATACTAGTTTTTAGAATAAGAGATATATACGCATAAATAGCAAATGATTCTAAGAGAAAGACCTTGAGAGATTAAAGCAATAAAAAATAATCATAGTAGAATCAGAGATGGTAACTGAGATGGGATATGATTGGAAAAAGAAAAGAAAGATGATGTTTTTGGGAATGTAATTTAAAGGTGGAGCACATCCCTCATCCCTGTGGTTATATCTTGGCATTTGTTGATGTTGCCAGGTGAGTGTTGTCTTCTTCTCTTTTCAAAATCAAAAAATCTTTGTGTCTTCAGGTTATTAGACAGCGTGTTAAGGTATTCTGCTTTGTTCTGATTTACATGAGCATCAAGTCTAAGCCGATTTTATTTTGTTTTCATATATCAGTTTGGGCCTCACTCTACTATGTCCTAAAGATCCAGTCCTCATCCAGTTAGCTCTGTAGCCTGGCGTCTGCTAGTGTCGGCCAGTGTGGTCTGAGGCCGTCATTTCACTGTTGTTATCAGTGATGGTGCTGGTGTTTGCTGTGGTTGTTATGGTTTCCTTTTTTAATGTTTAATTTGTTGGTTGTTTTGTTTTTGTGTGTGTGTTTGTGTGAGGAAGATCAGCCCTGAACTAACGTCAATGCCAATCCTCCTCTTTTTGCTGAGGAAGACTGGCCCTGAGCTAACATCCATGCCCATCTCCCTCTACTTTATGTGGGACGCGGCCACAGCATGGCCTGACAAGCGGTGCGTAGGTGCACGCCCGGGATCTGAACCCGGGCGGCCAGCAGTAGAGCGCGTGCACTTAACCTCTAAGCCATGGGCCCGGCCCCTTGTTGGTTGCTTTTTAATAAGCTTGTCAACTGGTCAGAAATAGCTTTCCATGACTCTCATGAAGCAATGTTTTAGCAGCCAGTGCTTCCATTCAGGCACACAGAGGAATGAGAATACTTAGAAAAAATACAGATGTGGGCTGGCCCTGTGGCTTAGCGGGTAAGTGCTCGCACTCCACTACTGGCGGCCCGGGTTCAGATCCCGGGCGCGCACCGACGCACTGCTTCTCCTGCCATGCTGAGGCCACGTCCCACATACAGCAACTAGAAGGATGTGCAACTATGACATACAACTATCTACTGGGGCTTTGGGGGAAAAAAAAAGGAGGAGGATTGGCAATAGATGTTAGTTCAGAGCCGGTCTTCCTCAGCAAAAAGAGGAGGATTAGCATGGATGTTAGCTCAGGGCTGATCTTCCTCACACACAAAAAAAGAAAAGACACAGATGAAAAGATAGCTGAACAAACCATGTATTTTATGAGATCAGTTTGTTTTTTTGGTTTTTTACAAAACACATTATGTCACTTTTTGAAAAGGATGGAACAATACTTTGAAATACCCGCTATGTGGAGCACACATACAGCCAGATTTTAAACACCCCATGGTAATTTTATAACACAATGATCAGTAACCATAGGCTTTCAGTTGCCTAACACAGAGGAAAACAAGACTCATTCACTTTATTTCAACAAATATTTATGAGCACCTACTTCATTCTAACACTGTATGAGAATTCCAAGATTGTTTTTAACATTCTTTACTTACTAGGTGCCAGACCCTGTGCTTATTAGCTAAGGAATTTCCATGAGCTATCTCATTTATTCCTCAAAATAACCTATGGGTACATGTTATTATTATCTCTATTTTGAAAATGAGAACAAAGCTTTGGTAGGTTAAATATCTTGCCTTAAATTCTGTAGCGAGTAAGTGTTAGAGCTGAGGTCTGAAACCTGGCAGCCTGCTTCTGAAGGCTGCAGTCTTAACCTCAATATGTAGCGCTTCTCAATGATTCAGTCCAATGGTGACAGAGACCAGGACAAGGGCACACATTCTACTGGAGGTAGAGTATTTTTTAGTATTTAGTATTTTTAGAGTATATTGAAGGATAAGTAGGACCACAGAGAGTTGGCACAAAGCAATCAAGAATCTGTTAATGTAAGGTTTATCTATTTCAGTTTATTTCCCACGTTTTTCTGTTTCTAGATTTTTAAGAAAGAATTACTAGCCAAAATGCCACATTTTGGGAAGACTAGGCTTAGCTTGAGTGATATCCAATAAAATCTGGATATGTGGATTGTTAAGCATTTTAGATATGCAAAAAAGTCTACCAAAGTCAATTCAATAAGTGTTTCTGTCCATCTGTTAGTACAAAGTAACAATGTGCCGGACACAGGGGAAACATAGATGAGTAAGTCATTGTATGTACCTTCCAAGAGTTCACAATCGAGTATGGAAGATAGATACATAAATGAATAATTTTAATGCAAGACAGACCAATATATCTTCTACTAGGGGTACAAGGTTCCTTGCTGATTTAGAAGAAGGAGAGATTAATTTTGAGTATTTCAAAATTAATAATGGAAATTGTTTATTAATAGTGAGAAGCCTTTGTGTTGAGAGTTTTGGAGTCATCACTATTGCGCTTAGAAACTTTTGGGGTAGGGAGGAAGGAGTAACTCCTTACATAGCTTACACATTCCAGGTGAGGTTTATAATTTATTTATTGAATCATTATCTCAAAATCTCAGAATGTGGAGAAGCCCATTAGAGTTTTGTGTTCTGAGTTTGTTCCACCAGGAGGCCTTATAGAGAATCTAGATTTCATAAGTAGGTCATTTTCTGACTTCAGTAATGAAATATTCTGAATTATCTATTTCACTCTAGATAGATATTTGGGTCAAACTATATTTCAGCAAACTAAATGATGAAAATGTGACAATCTCCATTTGATAGGAAAAATATATTGATAAAAATATTTTGTATTCAAAAAACTCATCCATCAATTTCAGAACTATAAATAAAACCAAAGTTACCTTTTTCCAGAACCAGAATTCTAACTGTGGCATTATACTTCTATAATACAAACTTTCACAACAGTCCACTTTTTCTGAACTGAGGAAACGTCGTGGAAAGTATCCTTTGATGATTTACTCAAT